GGGTTTATCCGCCTCTTCCAGCCCCAGCAGATCTACCACTGGTTGGGCTTCCGGATCCTGCTGATCCTCCGGCGTCAGCATCCGCACCAGTTCCCGCATGTACGATGACTGTACAGAAAAGACAAAACAAAAAGCCCCAAAGCAAAGCATCAAAAATTATTGCATGCGCTGTTTTGTATTTACATGCTATTTGTTTTACCTTGTCTAAATGTTGAAACTCTTGGGGATCTAGCCCTGATATATGCATAGTTTTGAGAGAAAACTTCAAATTCTTCATCATCAGAATCTAGCCCATTGAAAAATATGTTGGGCATAGATCCTACTATGCATTCCTTAACTTTAGCTTTATCCAGCTTTAGAATTCTCTTCTTTCTCTATTTTTTAAAAAAAAAGGCATGCACAAAAAAGCAAAGCAAGCAGGAAAGCAAAAGCATTGTTAATCATTTTTTTTTAAAACAAAAGAAAAAATTGGCTAACCTTGTTCCTGATGAACTTGACAAGCCAAACCAAAAAGACAGCCAAAGATGTGGCTCCAGCCCCACCAAGGCCCATAAAAACCAGGACCATGGCCGTCCAAGGGTCCACGTCCGCCACGACGTGCGCAAAACCATGCTTGATGTTGACCGTCACTTCTGGCGTCGACGACGGTGCCTTGATGACGTGTGGCACCTCTTGGGCCACCACAACGCTTTGCTGCGTCGAGGGCGGCGCCCAAACCACGACCGGCGTTTTGCTCGCCGGCACATGGACGACCGCCAGGTTGGCCGTCGGCACCACCGGGCGATGCTCATCTGTACATGCAACATTTTATTAAAACTGGTGAAGGAAAAATTTTTGTAATCAGGGTACAGGTGTTGGTTATATGTTATGTTGTTGTGAGCATATTATGTGAGTTGTGTTTTGAAATGATTATGTTTGTGTGGAAAAGCTGACAAAACAAACTCACCAACCACCGGCGGAACTGCCGCCGTCGAGATCTCCGGCTCGGGTGGCACGACCTGCTCGCACCACCTCCACGGCGTCACCACTCGATCCATCTCGGACCAACGTCCGACGCAGACCGTCGGCGACAGCAGCTTCACCTCCTACAAACAGGACTGGCTGTCATACATGTCACTTGTCCCAATTTTTCTCAAACACTCACCTTGAGGTCCGCCTGCCTGACGCAGTCCAAGAACAGCGTTGCTCCGATGAACGTCACACGGCGTCCGTAGCCTCCGGCACCCCTCACCTCCTCGCCGCAGACATCCCGACACACGAACGCCCCGTCTTCTGGACCGCAGTCCGCCCCAGCAGCCGCAACACCAATGACCAGCAACACCAGCATCCTCAGGAACGCCATCTGTGAAAATTTCGAAAAAAATTGTTATTTCTGAAAAGAAATTTTTTTTTTGCACTCACTTTTCACTTGCAGAATTTTCTTCTTGGTGAAGTTGAAGATCCCTAGTAACACAAAGTCACTCAGCAGCCGAATGATTCGCGAAACAATGTTTGAGGCCACCAGGTCCAGGAGACCCATCAACTTTTGTCGACTCCTGGAGACAGGAAGTCGTTAACGACGCATCCGCGTCCAAGACGAAAATCAAAAAGTTACAATCGAAAAAATTTGAAAAAAATAGACTAAGCTAACAATGCTCACCAAAGTTAACCGCCAAAATTT